ACACTTCTTGGCTATAAATCTTAAATACTTCTGTACACAGCAGTCTGAAGATTTATGAACAAAAAGCTTAATTACAACAAAGACCTGAATACAGTTTCCTTACACCTTATATGTGAATTATAAATACATAATTTTTATTGTACAGTGTTTTACATACACTTTTTTACAGTGTATGCTTTACATACACTGTAAAACAAGGCAAGGGCCTTTATGCTTAATTTATTATTAAATTTGTTTATTTAATTTCCCTTTGGCGTCAATGAAATAGTTTGTAATTTGAAATATTTTGAATTTTGAATTCAGAAAACCCAAACTTGTCCAGGTGATGATGTTGTAGCTGTCTTGAAATGCTGCTTCAGGATTTGATCAGAATATGATAAATATAATTTCTGTTCCTGACTGTTGCTTATCAAAATTAGGTTTTTTGATTTTACTTTTGTTGGGATAGTTTCTTCTTTTGACCTTTTAGCACATTTTTTGTACAGGGTTTTCTTTGGGTTTTCTCTGCACTGTAAAAAAAAGTCAGTAAATTTACGGTAACAAACGGTAAAAGACCAACAGGTTTTGACCGTCATGTCCAAAAACATTTCATTACCGTAGAAAATTCATGGAATTACCGTAAGTCCACACTGCAAAAAAACTCTGTAAATTTACGGTAAGAAAATTGTGAAATACCAACGGTTACTGACCGTAATATCCAAAACATTTTGTTACCGTGGAAAATACATGAATTACAGTAAGCCGACACTGCGAAAAAAATCCGTAAATCTATGGCAAAAAAATGGTAAAATACCAACAGTTACTGACTGTAATATTCAAAGCATTATACTACCGTAGAAAATATGTGGAATTATCATAACTCAATAAACATATATCTTAAGTAATTTTGACAGTCATGAATGTAGAAAATACAGAAATATATTGCAAAAATATAAGTAATTGTAAAGTTCATAGAAAAATATTGTAATATTGCCAGCAGTTAATTACCCTAAACTTAACTGTACTAATCAGCCAAAATTACAAATTTTGCTGATATTTATATCTACAATGTAAAACCATAAACGAGACTGCAAAAATAATTTTTACAAAGAACAGAATGCTAGTGTGATATTTTGGTTTCTTTTTTTAATAATGCCTTTAATACACCAAACTGAAATCTCAACAGTAGACCAGGCATCGATCTGTCAACCCACCGATTGCAAAGCAAACTCCTACAGCCAACACCACCATCATTTGTGAGAGTATTTGATTAAATGATGCATTTGAGATTAATTCTATGCCAACCATAGACTTCTTGTACATTAAGAGAACTGTATGTTAGCCCCTCTTGCTTGGATGAAGCTGAAGTTGGTTTCCAATTGCTGCTTCCAATTTTGGAAATGACTAAAGGGCAGTTCCACCTAAATTTTCACTACGATCAGCATCTTTAATTTACTCTAGCTAAAACACTACAAAACCTAGACTCCTCAAATCTGGACTCGATTATTCTCAACTCATATCAGAATATTTAAAACCAAGTGTAGGATTTGTGAAACCTTTATCTGATTTGTGAAACTTCAATAAAGAACAATTCTAGTGTTATCCAAAATCATAAAAGTTGTGAAGTCGCCCTTCATTGAAGTTTCACAAATCCCACACTTGGTTTTAAATATTGTGCTATTAGGAGAGAATAGTCTAGAGAGTTTTTAATTTTGTTATTGTGATAAATAGCAGGGTTTACAGTAAATGGAGACTGTTATTTGTCATGCAAACGAATAATTATCAAGTTTGTATTACTGCTTGATCCTTCAGCATCAGCAGCAAGATTCTTTTATGAACTCTGTTCCTGTAGTTGAGCGTGGCTCAGGATACTGTGGTTTTCTGAACTCAACACAGTAAAGTCACAGTGCGCTAGCTAAGACTGCTAACTAGCAGGTGCAAGCTCAGGGAGTTGAGAGCCCAGTAGGCCTGGTCCTTGTCAGGATGTGGATCCTGTCTTAGTGTTTGCTATTTTTGCACGTTCAGGAGGAGAAGGAGAAGGAAACACATCTCTGAATCACAGGTGAGGCCCTTTCACGGTTTTAACTGAAGTTAGCTAACTTTAACCAACTGATAAAGAAATTTGTATTTTCTGAGCCATGCTGTTTATGTACATGCACTGCAGCTAGATATTTTTACTATATGGAACATTTAATTTTCCCAGACGCAACACTTCCATTAATGTTTCTGTAGGAAGGACTGCATAGATTATATTTCTGGTCTACTTTAGACTGTGCTTAAAGTTATTGTTAATGGCAGAAGCAACTTTTTCAAGTTTGGTTCAGTAATTAAGTTGAATTACTTTGAGTGTGAAATGTTCATGCATGCAAGTTAAATCTGTGAAGAACACCTTAGCTTTTGTTTCAATACTTTGGTAATACTTGGAAGTATAAAGCTTGGCATCAGAGCTAATATTTAATATTTTCCTTTGACCTCTTGACTCTCAC